CATCCCAGATCTCCAGAAGTTTCCCCCCAGGCTGTCAGGGCAGGGAGCCCCAGGTTTGCAGCCTGATGAACCAGCCCCTCTCCAAGCCCACACCCCAATAGCAGCAAGCCAGCAAATCTTGAGGTTCCCTTCCCACCCAAACCACTCCGGGGTTCTTTGGCAGCTGCATCAGTGGGATTTGCCCACGTTTCATGCCCAAAGCTGGGGAGGATGGGAAGATCCAGCCCCGAAGCAGAGGCTGAGCCCAGAGAGGGGCACAGCCCCAAATTCCCTGCGAGCTGCCGTCATCCCTCCCAGCAGGGCTCCAAATCCACCCAGCCTTCCTTGGCTCCAGCTGGCTGAACAAGCTGGCAACAGAAGGAAGAGGAGCAAAGCCTCTTCTACTTGTTAAAAAAAACAAAACAAGATTGGGAGAAGTGTCCATAAATCCTGAGGCAGTTGCTGGTGGAGAGGATCCCCTCCTCCTGCTCCACCTGCAGCACAAATGACAGCCCCAGCCTCGCTGGTGTTCATGATGAACATCTGAAAAGGCCGTGACAGATGAGAGGAGGGAGGATTTAACAGCCATAAATCCAGCCAGCTTAGAGGTGTTTTTACAACCAAACCCATCTTGAATCCCCTCTGTTAGGAATACTTATCACTCCCAGACGCTGCCACAATGGAAAGATTTTTAACAGCTTTAATAGAGGCGCAATAAAAGCCCCAGAGCCGGGTGAGAGCCGTCCTTTGATCCCTCCCGAGGGAGGCAGAGGGGCTGGGAGCTGCTGGCTGTGCTCAGCCCTGAAGGAGCAGAGCTGGAGCAGCCACTGGGCTGACCCTGGCTTGAAGGGATGGGTGGAATCATCCCAGAGTGTCGGAATCTGAGCTATTGATGATTCCAAAATTGCAAAAAGTCTCTGTCTTTCAGCCCCGCTGCCAAAGCAGAAGCCATAATTGGTCTGTGCTGGTTTTCAAGGTTGTTTATTCTGTTTATCTCTCACATGTTCTGCTGCCCTGCCCAGCTCTGTCCTGCAGGGCAGCGTGTGGGGCTCTGCCCTCAGTGGGATGTGACAAACATTCAATACCAGAAACTCCCTGGGCTGGATTTACAAGAACGTGCCAATATCTGTCACCTACGCTGGACAGTGTGTCCCCAGCCTGAACCAACAGAAAAATGCCAACACCTCAGTGAGACATGGAGGGCATGAAGAAGGAGAAAAAGGACAAGGCACACCCAACTTCCTCCAGCTTGCCCCTTTGAACCCTTCATCTAGAATCCTAAAATTTTACTTTTGCACTTGTGCCACACTTAATTATTACTTTTATCAGACACTCAGAGCTGGTAATTCATCCTGTAAGATTGAAAACTCTTTTCCATGGCCAGAGATCACAGACAGTGTCTCTGGGGGCTCTGTCCAGGGGGGTTCCTGACCCCTGCCAGGGTCCCAGGGCAGCCAGAGGGAAGCCCTGGATTGCCACACCAGAGCTGGATCAGCTTTCCTAAAGCTGATAATAAATAGATTTATCAATATTGGCAATGAGCAATGTATTATTAGCTACCAAAGGGGTAGAAATGTGTCCTGTTTCCCCATCTGCCTGGTGTGGTTGCCACCAGCAGGGAAGGGGACAGGGGTCAGGCTGTGCCTGTGATATCCAGCACCTCCTCCTGCAGTGCCCAGCCCACCCTGCTCTGGCCCAGCTGCAGGGATTTACACCAGGGCAGGTCCCAGCTGCACCAAGGACCCTCCTGGGTGAGGTGGCACCACTTTTTAACCTGGTCCTCACCAAATCAGCTCAGCACCCGAGGAGCAGGCCAGGGACGCTGTCCCTTGGCACTTCCAGGAGATCTCCCAGCTCCAGGGTAACTGTGTGGATCTGCTGGGATGGAGCAGCCCCAGATGTCATTCCCACTCCCCAAAGTGACCCTGGAGCCTGCCACGAAGCCATTCTAAGCACCCAGCCAGCAGAACCAGGAACAGGGAGGTGCCACCCACTGCAAAGGGCACCCGGAGCTGGGCAAATACCTCAGGAACAAACCCCACCTTTCCTGTGCACACAAATTTACCAGGCACAGCCGGGTGATACGGAATTCAGCAGGTGGAGGGAACAAAAGTGATCCCAGGCTCGTTTCCCACAGCTGAGCAGCCCCACTCGGGGAAAACATCCAAGTTTTGGGGTTGGTGGGGGTAATTAAATAAAAACAAGGAGCAGGGGAAACTCCTTCCTAAGAGAAACGTGGCTACCAAGAGAGATGTTGGGCTACCAAGAGAGAAACCAGCCCTGCAGGGCAAGGAGCAGGCTCAGCTTGGCCATGCAGAGACCTGAGGGGACGTGGACTCTGAATCCTGGGTGGAATGTGACATTCCCAGCCTGCTAACCTAAGGGAACAGCTTTTCTTTTTAATAAGATCATACCCAGTAATTGATTTTTAAATACACTGAAATCAAACGTCCCGAGGCCAGAGCAGGATTCCAGCTCTGCCATCAGCTCCGAGGCCGCTGGCAGAGATGGAAAGCACAAGGGAAAAAGAAAATAAAAATGAAATCTCCTTCAAGTGCCTCTCTGGCTCCAGGGCAAATGTGAACATCGCTGGAAAAGGTACAACAGTTTTTTGCTATTAAAAAATAGATTTTCTAAAGGGAGGAACTGGTGGAGGCACCAGGGATCACTGAGGTCCAACAGGCAGCCTGGAGAAAATCATCTGCTTAAAGCACAGAACAATAACTGAGCAAAAATGTTAATTTCTAAGATAATTTATTCCAGTCTCTCTCTCTCACATCTCATCCTTCACACGTTCCCGGTCGAGGAGGGTTTATGGCTATTTTTTATTGGATTTTAATTGTTTTTATAGAAAAATACACATGCAAATAATATATATACTCCAGCGCTGAACATTTCATGTTGGAAAAATAATATTAATAATAAAGAAATGAAGGAGGATTTGGGAAAGACCTGAGTGGAGACAGAGACAGGGAAGGCCATGGGGATGGGATGCTCCAGGATGCTCCAGGATGCTGAGCTACTCATGGTGCAGCACATTTTATCCAGCAGGAAGGTGTTTATTGGGATGAGGGACCAACATCATCCCAAAAAAAAACCCCTTCTCCAATAACTCTGCCCAGGTTTGGGAATGGCCAAGGAGAAATTGGTGCTGGATTTGTCCTTCCTACAAAAGCCAGCGTGGATCCCATCCCCAGCAGCAAGGGAAGCCCAGCTTAGGTAAAAGCATCACTTTGATGCTTGGAAATGACACCAGAAGCCAAGAGCTGCATGGAAAAAATATCCTTTTCTGCTGTTTCCTGTGGGATACAGCTGGCAGCACAGGGAAAATGGATTGATTGAAACCTGGGCTCGGGTGTTTCGGGGTGATTTTTTTGGGGTTAGACTCTGTTGGACCTTGGGCTGGGGGGGTTCTGCCCCTGTGGGCTGCTGCTTGCAGAGGGGAGCAGTGGTGTCCCCAGCAATGTCCCTGTGTCCCCAGTGATGTCCCCCTGTCCCCAGCAATGTCCCTGTGTCCCCAGTGATGTCCCCAGAGGTGTCCCCAGTGATGTCCCCCTGTCCCCAGCAATGTCCCTGTGTCCCCAGCGATGTCCCCAGCAATGTCCCCGTGTCCCCAGCCTCTCTCAACCACCCTGCCGAGGTCCAAGGGATAAAACAGAGCTGCTGCCCCTGGAGCAGAGCAGGAGATGTCCTTTCCACAGGGTTATTTCAGGTTTGATGGATGAGCAGCTGGAGCAGGAGGGGGCAGAGAGGAGCAGCCTGGGAAAGGAGGACAATTAATCTGCTGCCACAGGACGCCAGGAGGCTTTGGGAAATGTCACAATCCAGCAGCATCCCGACACTGGCAGGGCAGCAGGGAGAGGGATGAGGTCTTTTGTCATCTCCTCCCGAGCCAAGCAGAGCTCCTCTGCCTCTGCCTGCAATCCTGCCCAAGGCCATGGCTTTGTTCCTACTGATCCAGGCTAATGACATGGAGCAAACTGCTGTCCCTTTGCCCCGAGGTACAAACCCACACGGGCAGCACAGCGAAGGCTTCCCAAGGCAAGGATTTCCCTCCAGCTCCCAAGGAGGGTGGCAGCAGCAGTTTGCCAGCCCCACCTCTGTCCTCTGCCCATGTCCCCAGGCAGCGGTGACACCCCTGGAGACACCACAGAACCTGAGTGGCGGCTGGGTGCAGCCCCAGCTCCTGGCTCTGCTCCTTGCCATCACCTCCTTCATCCCTGGTGCAGCTCCAGCATCAGCGAGGGCACTCCAGCAGGGAAAGGCAGCCTTGGATCCCTCTGGCTTTACCACCAGAGACCTCATCGTGGAGGGGCTGCAGCCACAGCACCTGGGGGCTGCACAGCCACGCTCCTCCTGCTTTCCCCTTGGTGTTTTGTTTTGCTTTTTAACCCACCCGATTCACTTTTGGGACTGTCTACTCCGACAACAGAGGCGGGAGGGTCTGGCGAGGGCGGGGGGCTGGTTGGCTCCTATGGCTACAGGCTGCCCTGGGGGCAGCTCTGGAGTTTGATGGGCGCTCATGCAGGTTTTATTGCAGCTCGTGGGTGCGGTTTGGTTCGCAGGTAGCCCAGCTTCAGTCTCAGGTAGCCCCGGAGGTGGGTTCCTCTCCCCTCCCCACCTGCCCAGCCGCCGTCTCTCCGCCGCCGCGTGCCGGCCGGGCGGCTACTCCGTGGCCATCTGCTCGATGTGGTCACTGAGCAGCTTGTATTGCTCTGGGGAGGGGAGAGAGAAGGGCTCAGGGAGGCTGCCCAACTGCCCCACCCACGCTCCATCCCCCCAAAATCCCGGAAAGGGGCTGCACACCCCCCGGGCTCTCCCCACCTTCATCCAAGTTGCCGATGGTCGCCTGCTTCTTCAGGAAGTCACTGCAGAGCTTCTTGTTGAGGCCAAAGGCCAGCATGTTGTGGATGAAGGTGCTGAGGGAGGACAGAGATGCTCTGGGTGAGAGAATGGCCAGGCTGCCCCTTCCTCCCCACACCTTCCTCTCCCTCCCCACAGCCCCTTGCAGCGGGCGCTGCCATGCTGCTCAGCTCGGTCCCTTTGGGTATCCAACAGAAGGGGCAGGAGCAGGTCCCAGGGGGAAGCAGCAAAGATCCTCTGCACCGTAAGGGATGTCTCCAGTGGGGGAACAGCTGGGAGGTGGCCCCGGGGGGGACAGTCCCCTGCCCTGCTCACCCCAGCTGCCCGAAGGTGATGTTCTCGTTGAAGCGCAGGCTGTCGTCGCGCTCCTCCTGCGTCATGTGGCACCACTTCTCCCTGCGAGGAACAAGCCAGTCTGGCACATTCTGTCACCACTGTCACCTCAGGACCCCCGTCTGCTTCCTCCCACCCTGGGCCACGCTGCTGGAGGATGGGAAGGCACCGAGAGCCCCTTGGAGGACAGGGAGGCACCGAGAGCTCCTGGGTGATGGATGAGCTCACAGCATGGATCCATCTGCACAGCCCTTGCCCTGGGGCAAAGCAAGAGATGCCCCAGGAAAAACCTCGTTCAACCTTGGCTTTGCCTGGAAAGGCCCTGATTAAGAGCTAAGAATATCATCGATCCCTCCAGCGCGGAGCTCACCTTCAGTGCCACCGTGGGCACGAGGAGGAAGCAGGGGATGGCCATCCCAGCAGCCCAAAGGGTGACAGGGGGACACCAAGACCCTGTCCCTCATCTGCAGCAAGGTTCCAACTCCCCAAATCCCGACCAAGGTGCTCCCCAAACATACCTCCCCCTCGGACAGGGTGGGAGCTCCCACACCCCTCCCCACGGCCAAAAATGCCAGCGGTGCCCTGAGGGTGCCCCAGCTCCCCTCTGGCTCCCTGCAGCCGCAGCTTTGCCTTCAGGGATGGAGGGGTTTGAGCTCTGGGGGCTTGCAACCAGCTCTAGGCAGAGTCCCCACCCCGGGAATAAAGCCTGTGCCACAGGGATGCCACTCGGGGTGGTGGCAGCAGGGCTCCGTGCATGCATGCCAGGGCAACTGCAGCTCCACGGTGAAGCCAGCCCCTTCCCGAGAACCAGCTGAGGTTACAGCCAAGGATAGGAGGAGGAAAAGCCAGGAAAAACAGGGATAGGCAGAAGAAAAATGGAGGAGAAGGAAGAGGAGAACACCAGGAGAAGAACGGACACTTGGAGCTGGCCGGAATACCAAGCAGGAGAGGGGAGCTGTGCTGGGGGGAATCTGGGCTGGAGGGGATCTCACCCCAAATTCGGTGAGGCTGGCTCAGCCCCGGTGTGGCTGGAACTGGAAGAGGATGGGTGCTCAGCCAGGCTGACCCCACAAAGGGAGCCAGTCCCCATAAATCACCCCAGCCCCAATGTGCAAAGCTGCTGAGCTGAGCCCGCAGCCACCAGCTCGCTGCTCACAGGGCTCTGCAAATGCACACAATGTGTTTCATGGGAGTTTTTTTTTAAAGAAAAGAAGGTGTAATTTCTCTCAGATAAAGCTTAGGAAAGCACATAAAAGCCACAGCCAAATGCAGAGGCTGAAAGGAGAGGGGAAGAATTGAATTAAGGGGCTTTGAAATCTGGAAGCAAAACTTCACAGACCCCACTGGCTCACTTACAGAAGAAGCATGTTTGTAACTCCTTCTTTCCTGCCTTTTTATGTTTTGGAGGGAGGAAGAAGGGAGAAAAAACATTTTCAAAGTGCCCCCCCAAAAAATTTGGCTGTGTTTCTGGCTTATTACAGGGGAATAACATGCCTGGGAAGGGAGAAAACCCACATGTGGCTCCACTCAAAGCCTTTGATCTTCACGCTGGCCCAGCAGGACAGGCACAGCAGTGAGGAACCCCCTGGGCTGTGGGGTTGTATTTTGGGCTATCCAGGGAAGCCTGGCTGTGCCTGGAAGTGCTGAGAACTCTCCATCCACTCCTTCCTCTTCCAGCAGCAGCAGCAGCAGAGTTTCGTCCCCGCACAGCAACCCCCAGCAGTGAATTTACACCATCCCTCAGCCAGGACATTCCTCAGCCACGCAGAAAATTCACTGCCAGGCTTCTGAAATTCCTCGTCCCCTTGCTAATGCCATCACCTGGAGGGATTTGCTCCCAGATCCCACACTCCAAGAGATCACTGACTGTTCCCAGCTCCTGGCCCCGAGTACACGCTCCCAGTTGTGACATGCAGCCCTCCATTTGCAATTTTAATCTTGTTAAGGGACAGCAGCAGAAAAGTGCATTAAAAATGGAAAAGGAGCCGCTTTTCCAGCTGGCAAAGGATCCCCAGCACCTCGAAGTGGCAGCAGAAGCCAGGAGCAAGCAGGAAGGACAGGAGAGGGGGATGCTTTCTACACAAAGAGACTCAGTTCGTGCCCAAAACCTGCCCAGAGGGATGTTCCCAGTGAAATATCACAGCGTGAAACCATCCGGGCTCCTTTGTAAGAACCACATGAAAGAGGAGCCAATCTAAACCCCTCAGGCCTTTTGGGAGGGTGATGCTCAAACCTCCGGCAGCTGCTCCTCCTGCATGGAGAAAGGGCCTTGCAGAGCCCCCCAGGACATTTCCCCCCCTCCCCAGGGCAGGATCTGGACCTGAAGGGAGCACCCTCGGCCTGTGGGCACTGAGGAAGGACAGGGACAGACACACCTCTTCTCCTCTTCCTCCCCAGGGTTCCCTCTGGAGCGGCGGCAGAAACGGGGCCGACAAAAGTGGCGCGTGAAAAGGTCATGCAAGACACGGGGACGGAGGGGAACGGAGAGAGGAAGAGATGGGAGAAGGTTGTTAGAGGCAGAGAGAGAGGGAAGAGAGAGAAAAAGAGGAGTTTAGTTCGGATTCCTTCCCCCCCTCCCCTGCCCTCCCCACCCAGAGGAGGAAAATCCTAAAGGCCGCCCCAGAGATGTCCTGGGCACCCCATCACAGAGATGGCCTCAGCCCCATCCCTGTCTTCTTCTGGGCATCTGCCATGGCCAAGGACCGACCTGGAATTCCAAAGCCAGCCCCAGCCACGTGCTCCCTGCAGGGATTTCAATCCCCAGCCCAGCATCCCAGCTCACTGCAAGGATTCTGCATCCTCTGCAGAGGGCTCGGGGGGTCACCACCAGCTCCCAGCCCCCCGAAACGCTCAGGACACTCCAGGCTGCAGCTCCCAAAGCTCCTTTGTTAGCCAGGCTTGGAGGCTGGCTCAGCCATCAGATTAATTGGGAAAGGCACCGGGAGCAGGGAGCAGCTGCCGGTGGCGTCTGTCCTTGCCAGGCATTTGCTGCTGCTAATTTGGGGCTTAATCAAAGCAAATGCAGCTCTGGTTACACTGCTGCTCAAGAGGCTCTTCCCGTGCTTGCTTGGGAGGAAAAAAGGGAAGCAATAAAGGGGAAAACAGGGATTGATCCGAGAGCTGAGCCTGGCACAGCACCCCAGGGTGCCAGCCAGGACTGCTGCAGCTCAGCTCGGGGTTTGGGGGGGGGGGACACAGAGGGGGCTGGCTGTTCCAAAAAAGGGGTGGCTCAAGGGCTCCCAGGAGAGCTCAGAGCCTCAGGCACTGCACAGACAGCGAGAGGGGCTGGCTGGGAGTGGGAAACTGCTGCCAGGAGAGGAGGGAGTGCCTGGAGCCCTCACGCAGCTCCGGGGTGCAGCAAGAGATGGGCACAAGCTTGGTGAGTGTTTCACCCACTTCTGCACCCCCGACACGAGCTGCGCCTTCCCTGGCAGGTTTATCCCAATTTTTGGGGCTGGCAGTGCCACCGTTCCCAGCTTCTCTCCTTGCTGGCTGCAGGTTGTCCCCTCTGGGGACAGCTGGGACATCCCCTCCATCCACGCCACCCCTTTGATGGCTGCACCGAGCACCTCCCAGACCTGCTGGCAACCTCAGCACCAACAGCCTGAGCCCTGCCTGGGATTTCTGGCCACGTCTCTAGGGTTTGGTTCCTCCAAAAATGCTGCACAAGAAGAAGAAACCCTTCCCAAACCCCCGCCAGGCTGCAGATCTCACCAGCACAGCCAGTGCTCCCGGCAGGATTGCAGTGTGGGATGGAAAGCAGAGCTTTTCCCCAGGGCTGGACAAGCTCAGGGCTGGTGGGAGGAGCTCCCTGGGGGGCTGGAGGGGACACAGAGTCTCCTTTTCCCACAGGGACGGGTCCTACCTGGTGGTGGGGGACCTCTTCCTGCGCTCGCAGTGCACGGCGTCGAAGAAGGCGGCGTTCCAGAAGCGGAGGTTGTGCCTGCGAAAAAATGTTGGGAATGGCCACTTGGGATTTTATAATTGGGAACCACAGAGTGCCCAGAGCAGCTGGGGCTGCCTCTGGAGCCCTGGAAGTGCCCAAAGTCAGGTTGGACACTGGGGCTTGGAGCAATCTGGGATAGTGGACGGTGTCCCTGCCATGGCAGGGGTGGAATGGGATGGGATTCAAGGTCTCTTCCAACCCAAACCATTCCAGCATTCCACAATCTCACCCAACCTGTCCCTCAGCCCTCCCAGGGACCAGGGTGGGCCAAACAAACCTGGCAGATTTCTGGACCAGCCCTTTGGTGGCTGCAAACACACTGCCATGAGCACAAGGGATGTGCCAAAGGGGCACTTGTCAACATCTGGGGCACTTTTGAACATCTGGGGACATGTGGCCAGCAGGACAAACCCCTCCCCAGGCAGGAGCCCACTCGCCCAGGGGCTTTACCAGATGGGCTGCTGCTTGAGGTGCATGTACAGGTAGATCTTCTCCCCTTTCTTCTCCTCCTCTGGGCTCTGCAGGGACACTGTGGGGACACACAGTCACACGCCAGCACCTGGGGGCTCCCACCTTCCCACCCAGGTGTGGATTTTGTGCCCGCTCCCAGCCTGGTGGCTGAGCAGCTGGGATGGGTTGCAAACCAAACACGTCCTCTACACATCCACAGCAAGGGGAAGAGGAGCTCTGAGTGCCCTTGGAGGGCAGGGATCAGCCCTGGTGAAGGCAGGGATGTCCCAGGAGGATCCTGGAGGGACTGGACCACTGCTTTGGGAGCACACACAAGTGCTGGTGCACCACCAAAGCCCAGAGGCAGTGGGTGCCCAAACCTCTGCAGCCTGTGACACCGAGGGCAAGATCCTTGAATTGGAATTTCAAACCCAGCCCCAGGGAATTCCAGCTTTTCCAACCCTCTCTCCTTCCCCAGGGGTGCCTTGGCCATTCTTATTTCAGCTGTGCCGGCTGCACTCACCTGTCTTCTTCAGCTTCTCCTTTGGTTTGTCTTCACCTTCGCTGTGGCACAAGAAATCAATGTCAGCTCTAAAAATCCCATGCAGCAACAGCCCATGGCCCCCTGGCAAAGGGAACCTCATTTGAAAGACCCCCTGATCCCATGCCAGCATCCCCGGGAACAGGAAGGTGACAAAGAGACGGTGAAACAGTGATGTCCCTCAGTTCAGAGATGATGCAGAAGATCACCACGGAACTCCACGGCTGTCCCAGTTTTGAGACAAATCAGGAGGAACTGGGACAGTGGCCAAGGGAGACAGGACTCCCAGACCATGAGGTGACAGTGACTAAAGCATGGGACCAGGCTCTCGTGGCCCACGGTGGCCACACAGCCCTGGCTTGCTCCCGGCATGGGTGCCTGCCCAGCCCCCCTGCCCACCCGTGGGAGTGGCACCCACTCGCTCTTTCTGCTGGCAGGACCCTTCAGTTTGGTCTCCAGGCCTCCAAAGAAGCCCTTGACGTTCTCTGTCTTGGCCGAGGTGTTTTTCAGCAGCCTCTCTGCAATGTCCTTCTTCTCGGCCAGCCAGGTGTTGGCTGACTTCAGGTAGGAGTCGATGCTGCCCGTGGGCTTCTCCTTGGCCTCCGAGGGCAGGGCCTGAGGTTTCCCTGGGGAAAATGTGCCAGGAGCTCAGTGGGCTCACAGCCCTGAGTGCTGCCAGCTGCTGGGGACCTGCATCCAGCTCCACCGTGCACCGCCAGGAGGTGGAAACACCCAGGATCCCATCCCAGCTCCTGCAGGTTTTTAGTTTTATCCTCCCCACTCCCATTTTGGATAGAAAACCCAGCTCCCCGTGGAGGAGCAGCCATTGCACACCCAGCAATAAACCGAGGTGCTTCTGGGCTGGGGTGTTCACATCCCACCCCCAGGGGCTGGGGTCACCTGGGGGTGGCCACACGCAAATATTCCTGGCTGGAAGTGAGGACAAAGCAGCATCACCACCCCAGCGAGGAGTTCTGCCACCTTTGCATGGATTTTGGGCTCTTTTCCACCTGGGCCACCCCTCCAACGCCTTTCCCATGCACAGGACACATTTCACAGCAGCCCCCAGCACCAGCAGAGCCTCCCCAGGGGCACAGGCTCCCTTACCTATGTAGTAATAGGTGAAACACATGGTCATGAGGTTCTTGGCTGGGCTGAAATCGTCCATCTGGTGACACCTGACACAGAGGGAGGACACCCTGTGATGGGAGCCTGATGGTTTTTGTTGGTTTTTTTTTTAGTTTTTAAATTATTAGGTTAGCTTAGAGATTTGAGGCTTCGAGGGAGAGGAACATTAGGAGCTAGGTAAAGATTTCTAAAAGAGGCTCTTATTTTGATGTCATTGTTTAGCTCTTTTTATTTTGTGATGTTTAGGGGAAAGAGCAGGGTAAAGAGAATGAACAGGAAATGTTAGGGGTTTATCTAGGCTTTGGACAGGGAGGGCTTTTTGGCTCTCTGCTAACTTTGTTGGGGCTGGAAGGAGGAGACCAGGATTATTTAATTAGAGTTACAGGGGTCTCGGGGAATGGGAAAAGGCACAGCTTGAGCACAGCTGTGCCCTCAGGGCTTTTTGGGGGTTCCCACAAAGGCCCAGGGTGCCCCCAGCACTTACTCAAAGAGCACCAGGGCGAAGGACTGCATCAGGCGGTAGAAGGTCTGCTCCGAGACACACCTGGAGTTGCAGCGCTGCGGGGACAGAGCCCAGGGTTCAGCACAGGGACCCCCAAAACCCCCACCACGGGCAGGGGGAAAGGAGCACCCATGGCTGGGACTCCCCTCAGACACAGCCTTGTGCCTGGCTGGGTTTTGTTTTTTTTTTAGGGAGTAGGATGTGTCTGAGTGCTGGCGGGATTTAATTCTAAATAAAACGAGTGAATTCTCTCCCACGCCGCACCGTTTAACCGCTCGAAATGAATTTATTGGCTCCTGTATCTCCTTCTGCTGTGGTTGCTCGCTTTTCTTGAGTCCCTGCCTTCCAAAAATACTTCTCTGGGATATAAATAAATACCCCTGGCCTGAGGCAGTTCCAAAGCCCACGCAGGATCCCTGCTGCCTCCCCACCTCTGCCCTTACCTGGGCGCTGACGTATCTCGCAAACCACTCCCTGCCCTTCCCGTTCTCGCTGCTGCACAGCTCCCCAAACCTGGCCTTCTCCTCTTGCTCCAAATCCTCTCTGCAACAGGGAAAAATTAAAAAAAAAACCAAATCATTACAGCCAAGGACGTGTGCTGCACCCCCCCAACATCCCTCTTGGCATCAGCATCCTGGTGCAGGTGCTGGAGGAAGGCAGAGGAAGAGGAGGGGAGGAGCTTCCATTCTGTCATCCCTCTGAAACGTGGATGAAAAATTAAACCTTAGCATTTTAATAAGGATTTGTAGGGAATGGGTATGTTTATTTATAGCGTTGGATGTACGTGGGGACATATTGTCCTTCAATGGACACGCGCACTTCTGAGAACTCTCGGTCATTTTTCATTACACTTATTAATTTCTATATGCATAGAATTTTATAATAGGTGAATGCATATTTATTTTGCTGATTTCGCATTACACTTACAGCTAGTTATACTTGTATTTAGTTTTTGTTAGAAAGTACAGAAAGAACTCTTGGGTCATTTTGCCTTTTCTGTTTCAAGGCTCGAGGAGTTTTTTTAATTTCTTATTTTTTAGTGTGGAAATTTGCATTTTTTTCTCCTTAGCTGGGGTAGTTTTTAGTGCTGCAGTTACTAGACTAAACAGCATATTTAGCAAGCTTAAAGTGGTACATTTTACTTAAATCTAAATGGATTTAAGTAGAATGTACTCGCCTTGTGCTGCTCTTTTCTTCCTCCTTCACAATCACAGAATGATGAGGTTGGAAGAGACCTCTAAGATCATCAAGTCCAACCTACGCCCTAACACCACAACCAGACCATAGCACCAAGTGCCAAATTCAATCTTTCTTTAAACACATCCAGAGATGGTGATTCCACCACCTCCCCAGGAAGACAATTCCAGTATTCCCGGGAGGGAAAGCAAAGGCAGAGGGAGAAGGGAAGAGCCAAGGATGGCATGAGCAGAAACTGAGCTCCAGGGACAGGCACGGAGCCCCAGAGCACAACCAAGCCCTGCCGCTGCTCCTCACGCTCCGCTTGCTGCATCCAGCCTGACACGGAGCCGCGGAGCCGCGCCGGGAGCTGGGGGATGCAGCGCTGGGGGCACAGCCAGGGGCTGCCCCAGCATCCCTGGGCACCGCTGGCATTCCCACGAGCATCAGTGGGGACAGGAGATGGGGACAGTGAGCCCCTGGCACGGGGAATGGTGGCAGAGAAGAAGGGAGGGAAGCTGAGGGTGGAAGTTGTGGCCAGGAGAGAGGAGCGCGAGGCGAAAGCCACATCCCGCTCAGCACCAACAGCGTGGAGGGGAAGGACACAAATTGCTGCTCCGGGAGTGGGAAAGCAGCCAGATCCATGCCCATCCCCTGGGGTGACCCTGGGCCTGCTCGCTCACCCCCCGGTGAAGATCTTCTCCACGTAACTCCGCATGAACTCCCGGCGCTCGGCCGCGGCCTCGTCCCGCGCCGACTCCGTGCTGTGGCTGGAGGAGAAGGACTCGTTGGAGGAGGAGCGGCGGTAGCCACCCCAGTGCTGGGGAGAGTCCCCCATGTCATTCTCGCTGTCTGCTGACTCGGTGGCATCGCTCTCCTCCGCTGCCACCTCCCCCGTGTCCCCGAGGTGGCCGCTGTCGCTGGGAGCGGCGGGAGGAGCGGGCTCTGAGCGCTCACAGGCGGGTGTTTCGCTGTCAAAGTCAATGAGGTTCCCCACGGGCACGTCCAGAGGGGCCTCCATGGCTCTCCCAGGGGACGTGGCAGTGCTGGGGACACTGGCTCCTCGTCCTTCTGCGCCTCACTGGGGCGTTGAGGCCATCGCTGGCAGGACGCTGGCTAAGGCGGGCAGGACCTCCTGGGTGGGCACAGGCTAGCACAGGACATCTGAAAGACACAGGGAGGACAAAAGTGAGGACAGGACCCCAGGGAACCACTGTCGGAACTCAAAATGTCCCTCAGACATTTTTGGAGGTTCCGGGCCAAGGTCAGAAGCATTTGAGACCCTGGCAGGCAGCTGCAAACAGCTGTGATTTTGGGTTTGAACCATGGAATGATTTACCAACCTTGCAGGAAGAACAAGAAGTCATAAAAGTTTAGATATTAGAGTAGAAGTAGTCACAAAGTAGAGGGAAGAATTTTTGAGTGCTGTACAGGGGGGTTTTGGTTTTGTACATGGGGGTCAGAGGATTTAAGATGGATTTGGGATTTGGGCCTGTCCTGTCCTCCCTCTTTCTCCTTCCTTACCTCCATGTTCTTGGTGATGTTGGCACTCACAGGTTGGTTTAGAGTAGAAAGGCACCATTTAATATAGGTAATAGGCATTGGGGAAAACTGTAACCATGTAACACCTAATGTACCATATAAAAGATAGAAAATCACCATTTTATATAGGTAATAGGCATTGGGAAAAACTGTAACCATGTAACACCTAATGTACCATATAAAAGATAGAAAATCACCATTTTATATAGGTAATAGGCATTGGGAAAAACTGTGAACATGTAACACATAATGTACCATATAAAAGAGAGCAGCAGCCCTGGGTGGGAGAGAAGAAGCAGTCGGGGTCAGAGAGGATGTCAGGGTGTGTGTGTGCCTCTGCCTGAGCTGTGAGCAAACCACAGCAGCCCAAGGAGAAAATCTTTTAGATAACTCACAATAAACTGCCTTGAGACTGAACAACAAGAGACTGCTGAGCTTTTTTTTGGAAGCATGGGTTGGAGGAGAGACTTTTCCACCACACTGAGCCACCCCTGACCTAGAGGTGAGCTCCAGCAAACCACCACCAGGGAGCTTGGGCAAAGCCACCACCCACGATGTCCCCAGGATGTCCGTCAGCAGTGGAGGGACAGGCAGAGCTGGCTCCTCTCCAGCAGCCACGTGAATCAGCAATCCCATGGAATGCTCACATGCTGTCGGCACCGCTCGCGAGGGTTTTCCATCCTTCAGCCCAGAAAAGGGACAACCAGAGAGCCTCAGCTCCATATGTCACATTTGGGATGTGACATCTTGTGGCCTGATGGGCAAAACTGGGCTGGCAGGAGCCAGCAGCTGGCAGGACACTGGTGGCTCTCCAGGGCAGCTCTGACATCCTCCTGTCCCTGCCCTCCCTTGGCTCACGGCTCTGTCTGACCCTGTTTGGAAATGGGATCATCTCCGGGGTGGAGCATCCTGGAGTTGAACACAGTGACTTAGTGGGAATGGGAAGGGGATGCTGGACACGACAGGAACTGCAATGGGGTGAGGACACAGAGCTCTGGACTGCAGTTAAGGGGTTTTGGCACCTCAGATCGCAAAGGTCCTGCAAAGGAGGTACAGAGAGCACAGGGATGGGGATGGACTGGGATGCTCTGGCACATTCCTGACAGTGCTGCAGCAAAAGAGGCAAAGACAGGGCAGCCCTGAAGTTGCCCCTGTGCCAGAGAGCCACTGATGTACCCACTGAGGGTGTTTCTGCCCCAGGAGGGTCAAACTGTAGTGTCTGCAACCCAGCACACACTGCAGCATCGGGCACAGGTGGGACAGGAGCAGGGACAGCAGCACAGGTGACAGGTAACAGTGACAAAGCCAGGCCAGCACTGACACAGCCCTGCTGCCTTCCAGGGAACTGATCCCAGGACACAGGCAAGCACCCCCAGAGAAAAATCCCCCAAAGGACCGATGTCCAGCTCATCAGACAAACAGGAGTT